CTTCTCTCTATCTCTCTCTCTCTCTCTCTCTCTCTCTCTCCTTCTCCCTCTCTGGTTGTTTTTTACAAGCTGTTAATCTCAGTCTGTTGAGGTCGAGTCTTTACTTTTCTATTTTTTCATTCGGTAATTGATTTCTCTCATGTTCTCTCCCTTAGTTCTTTCGTTGTCTCGCCCATACCAAAACATCCACCCCGGTGTTGAACAGTATACATTCCAACATAAATTCTAAATTCTCTGCCGCTTGGCTCCGCCAGCTACAAAACTGTCAAAACTATTCTTGATTAAATTGGCACTCGTGTACGTTTAATTGCTTGTCGGTACATTACAGAACGTGAAACAGACTTATTATCCTAAGAGAAGGGGTTCGATTCCCAGTTCTGCCTTAGAGACGTTATATCATTAGGAGAGGACGTCGCCTTTAGTTTATATTCTTCTGTTTGCCCTGCTGTAAGTGGGTACTTGGCGTTTGGCAGTGCAGTGGTGGATTTTATTTGACCGACTACGTCTGTCCGCTTAATTAACAGGCAATAAAGCTGATTATCCCAATGGAAAATGAAGTGGAAATGTTTAGTTCCGTTGGCCATTAAAGTTAGCTATTTTGGAAAATCTTCTGAACTATCAACAATAAAAGATATCCAGGACTATTACGGATCCCTTTCAAGAGCAAATCTGGTCTTACAATAAGATTGAACACTGGAATTATACAGCAGTTAATGGCATCCTCAGTACAAAATGGTGAGACTTTGGTGTATTATTGTGCTTTCATAACCCCAATATCTCTGTTTGCGAATCAGATCTGGCTGGATTCCCTTGAGCTGCACATTTACGGTTTGGGACTATGGGCAGGCACGCTACCATTGCTGGGTACTCACGTGACGTGCAAGAAGAAAACGATAAGCATGTAAGTAAACTATTGATGTATTATGGTTTCTTGTGGGCAGTTTTTGTTCTTGCTTCGAGCTGCACATTTCCTTTCTGAGAAATATATGTTGTTGGCCAATCAGCAGCTTGTCAGATTTTGTCCAAGGCCGTCGGGAGAGACAAGTCGGCTTATAACGTTTTATTACGTCCATTTCAGATAGGACCAAGTCAAATAAGTGGAGAGTCTCAAAGCCTAAAAAAAAACAAAGTTCAGAACCATCTGTTAGGGATTCGAAGAGTCCAATCTGATACGTGTTGAGCTAACGGTACGCCTGTTTATAGCAGGAAGACTGAACACATACATAACATTATGGTGTCTGACGTTTCTCAGCTGCTTTGAAAGATATATCAATACCTAGGTCATAATTAATTATGCGCTAAAGCGCACGACTGAATAAAAAAGTGAAAGCGCTATGTTTTTGTAACAGACTGCAGGGGACATTTTACGCTGCTTTCTCCTGTAGAATTTACCATAACGTGCAACTGGTACTATTTTTATGAGAACGGTACACGGATTAGAAGTATGAACAGTCAATAGTAAAGACTGGATTGTGGTCGAGTGTTGACCTCACTTCTGTATTACACTGCCAGTTGAAAGAAAAACCTAGTGTAGGCCTATTTGGGTAAAATCAAATTTACTAGAGAAATTATTTACGTGAAAATGCCCAGTTCTTTCTCATTTCAATTTGGTATCGATATCTCAATATTCAACAAATATACAAAAACATTACTGAGGGAGAACAATTTAAAACAGTCTCTTCCAATTGCAACAAAATACGATTGATTGTTAAATACCAGGTTTTCAGTTCAAAAAGCAAAACAGTTCTCCGAACACAGAAACTCATATGCGATCTCGCCAAATGTTTTCGCAAGCGAAGTGGAAAGTATTAATACTCATCATTAACATTAATTATTGCTACGTTCTTTCATTCTTTTGATGCTGTCTTCATTAAGAATACTTTTATGTAAGTACTTTTACGCCTCCATCGATACAATTTAGATCATTCAGTAGTCGGGCTTCGACCATACCTGCAGGGTCAGCCCGGGATGAGAGGCATATAACGTTCGGGACAGCAGAAAAACTGAGAAGCTCGATAAAAAAAAAATTCACAGGTGGGAATTAAACGCTGACCTTCTCCGTGCCACAGCGAAACGCCTAACCACCACACCATAGAAGCCGGTGTGACCTTCCTATAAAGATTGTTTCTGAACGACACTAGGTAGCCGGGAGATATCTTCTACCTAGTCATGTTTCTAATAAACGTTGGGTTGATGAGCAGGTAAGTAATAAGCCCGATCTCGAACATGTCCCTGACACATCAAAGACCAACTCTCTACCATATATTCAGCAGATAAGTAACAAAGGGCTGTCCGTTATTTCAACAGGGCATGGCTGTTGCTGCTGTCGTTGTATGGTCTGGTTCCCCACCTGCTGTTGGTCATGCTGGCGCCATACATACAACCCACGTATCCAGGCGGCACACTAGCTTATGAAGTGGGCATCAAACCAGGTTTGTATATCTACGAGTGTCTGTAAGTTTTAATTTAAATGACTTGCTTCACACAAATCAAGTACTTCAAGTGGGGGTAAATAGTGTAAGAGTGTACATAGAGGAAGTAAGAAAAATCAAGAAATGTGGAGAGGTCCTAGGATAGAAAAACTAATATACTATTATAATATGCTCCTGGGGGTCACTCGACTGTGAGAAAGGTTTATCTCTTGTTTGAAGTTAGTAGGGTGTCTGTTTTAAGCTCGTATTGGAATACAAGCTCAAAGCTCGAACTAAGTCTATCGCTGTGGTGGTGGTGGTGGTGGTGGTGGTTGTGGCGATGCCCGTTAAGACAGCTTCTGTCTGTAAAAAATATGGTTAAGAGAACACAATTCTTGAGACCTTTTCTTGGCGATATTTCGTGTTAGATTTTTATGCCATGTTAGACTCAAATAGATTATTTCGAAAAAATTTTACTGATGCATTTGCTTTTAGGGCAAACTAGTGTGTTAATTACTCAATGTCTCTTTTTCGAGGTACTTCTAATTAATCAGTTGTCATTTCTGTTGAAACTGCATAAGTTGATGTTTGAGTGCCAGGCCGTGCATGCAGTACATTATATTTTTCTGCTTAGCAAAAATTATGGAATACGCCCCGGACCAGTTCGTTAAATAGAACTACGTGGTAAAATTAGTTAGTTTCTCATAACCTCCAAGTTAGAAGATCATAAGCAGGGTCTAAAGATTCACAGTGGTGCCATTATCTTGTACAATACCTCCCCAGGCATGTCCTACTTGTTCGTGTCCATTCCGCACACGTTCAGCAAACACGGATTGTCTCCCTTCATGGCTTTCCTGCTCTACTTGACCTATGTGCTGATCAGTCTACAGCATCTGGTGAGTTTTTACGAGGGTTTTTTGTGTTTAACACACATACACACACATACACACAAACAAAAACACACACACACACACACACACACACACACACACACACACACATACACACACACTCACACACACACACACACACACACACACACACACACACACACACACACACACTCACACACACACATACACACACACACGCATGCATGCATGCACGCACGCACACATGCTAGGGATGCGTGGGCGCTTTTTGACTGGTACATATTACACACTCATATATTCACATTCATTTTTGTTTGTTGTTTGGGTTTTTTCAACGCTTATCTCACTCTATGCTATGAGTGCGCATGACTGTTGGTGTTTTCACTCTACATAATAATTCATCTACATGTCTATGGTCTTTTCACACTATTTAATAAATCATCTACATGTCTGTGGATTTCCATAATGAGATGAGTTTGCTGTTAATTATGTAAGTATAACTCAAAGCGATCAGCCTGTACTCTTTTAGCCTCTCTATGCCTTTAAATCTCCCTGTCTTCCTCTCTGTCGGCGAGCCTCTTCTGCTCATTTTCCTATTCGCCTTTCTGATACGCAGGCTCTCATCTACCTAAAGGTGCGTTCACATTAAGTTCTTTCTCATCTGTTACTTGTCAAACTTACTCATTTACTCATAACCTTCGCTGTTTATGATGTTCCTACTCCAAGGGCTTTATACTCTTTTTCTGTCTTGAGCTGAATACAATGTTTATAAATCCCCACTGCTGTTCCATTATAATACATTATTCTCAAATTCATTAGGTTTGTATTCGGAACATCATTTACAAGTTTGAAAACAATGACATCAATAACATAGAATACACAGTGACCGTGAATTAAAAAAACAACATTAGCAACTTCACCACCAACAACAAAAGCGACAGCAACAACTACAGTCGAAGGAGCAACACCAGCAACAACGTTTTGCGTAATTATTCCTTCGACTCTGTCTGACAAGATTCAAGACTATTTAATTCTAATGAACTACAATTCGTATCCTATTTCTTTCTGCTCTTTAACTTTTCTAGAGTTCATCATGACAGTCAATACATTGCTATTGTAATATTTCTGATTTTTTAAAACTCAGAAGGTTTTACGTAACAGTAATTCTAAAAAGACAGGAGTATAATAAATTACTCGTATACTGCACTGCTCAACTGGATTTCCATAAAACATCATGAAAGCATTTCAGACACAAGGAAGATGTATACATGATGTTCTTGTTGTTTTATCAACAGGCATAATCATACCCATTTCGTACACACCAGTTTATTTTTATCACCCAAAGGCTGCAACCACTTGCAAAGAGATTAAAATATTGCCAGTATGAACATAAATCTTGTGTGTCTCAAGAAAATCACCCTAGTTTTTTAAAATTCTATTTTGTATCATCTTCGGGGGATACATAACTGAATAAATCGTCCTGATTAAGGCGATCCATACAATTTGCCAAACTTATATAGATGTAAGTTGCTGAAAATCTTTCTTGGAGACCCTTTCTATGGGTATTTATGTCTTGGTCCCAGCCATTCGACAATACTATTCATTCAACGCTCACGGTTTTGTCTGCTATTCACAGTTTTTCGAAGCATGGCTTATCAGCTCGAATGCCTTTGGTTTTTATGGACAATGGATTTTTGTTTCATATACCATACCCAATCCGCCGTAAAATTAGTGCATATTACGTTTAGAATAATGGAGGTGAACATAGAAATGGTAATAATTTGTACTTGATTATTTCGAGACAGTGTGATAAGTGGGGCCAACAAGAGTTATACAAATAAATTTGCCCCCAATGAGAAGGCCCTATTCACTTTTTTTCAATATCGGTAAGTCCCACCATAAATAGTTCAAGGGTCCATGACTCTCGACGAAGCGTAGCGTTGATTTTACGGTAATTAACAGTAGGTGAACGTAATTAACCCCATTTCCACTATTAAAAATTGTAAATGGGGATGTGTTACTGTACCACACTGCGTGCAACGCTCGTGCCACCCCCGCGCTCCCTGAAATACTGTAAGTAATAAATATTGACGTTGCTGATAGACTTGTACATAATATCATGAAAAATATAATCAATTCGTACACGGTATTCGAATCGCACGAATAGTGACCTCATGCTTCGAAGTGTTGAAGTAGTTTCATTTCCTCAAAATCGCACAGCACGAGTTTCCACTGACGTGGTGCGGGGTACAAGATGTTGTAAAGAAACATGCCATGAAACAATGAGCTGAGCTTTACCCCTGTCTGTCAATCTTCATGCTTTTGTTCTCTTGTCGCTGAAAGAAATATGTCACTGTCATAATGACCGACAGCTCATTGTCTGATATTTGATAAAGTTCTGTACGAGTGTATTATCTACTATGTGGCTTTCTTTCATTAGTTTAATTGCGATCATAAAATGTACTATGAATGTTTTTTGACATTTCATTATTGTGTTTTATTCTTTTATTTGTTTTAGTTTGGTTTGGTTTTGTTGGTTTTTTGTTGGTTTTTTATTTGTAATTTGGTACGTTGTCTGGAAATATATCTGAATAATAATAAAGCATGAATACATAGCATTCCTGTTTTGTTTGAGTTTTAAGAAAAAGATATTATTATGCTCTTTTAAAATTATGTAAGTGTTTTAAGCCCCCATCGACACCATTCAGATTAATAGAAGGCGGGTTTCCGACCTTTTTGGTCAGAGCCAGTTCGAACTGAGAGGGAAACAACACAACTACGTCATCTGGAGGGATCATAGCATTTACCTGGTGAATACACCATTCATTGTACATCTTCCCTCTTCCTTTTCTTTACTTTACCGTAACGGATGGACCTGTTTCTTTGTTTTCCTAAATAACGTGTGTGTGTCCTGTAGAGCCTTTACATAATTCAGAATAGAAACACTGAAGACACGGACTCGTTTTGAAGGTGCACTACAGTACAGAAGACCAAGATACTCAAGAAAAATTTCTCCCGACTCGGTATTCGGGGTTGAGCGCTAATTATTATTATT